TAGTATAACCCAGGAAAATAATATTTTACTTCACGAGCTGTGTCTGCTACTCTGAAAGCAGCGGCTACATAATATTGGGGGGTCCAGTACAACAAATGATTCTCAAGAAGAAAGCTGGGGAGATTGTCTCTAAATAGCAAACTGAATCGAAAGTGTTTTTTTCCAGACTGTCACTGCCAATAAAACGAAGTTTTCAATTACAAAGCTTAGCACAGAGCAGCCTGCCCAAGGAAACCTGTGTTCCAATGCTGCCAAGTGATACACGCTCAGCATAGCATTGATCAAACTGTTTCCTCTGCTAAGGGTTCATGTGTCAGCCTATAAAACGGCTTCCTCTTCTACCACCTTTCCTGGTGGAAGTGTGAAAAGTACAACTTACTTCCTTTTGCAAAACACCACATAGAGACTCTTGACTCCAAACTGACTGCTTCGTGGGAGAAACCTGATTTCTAGAAACTCAACCATTTTACCCTAATTCTGCCTTACTGGAATAAGGTCACGCAGTGAGACCACAATCATTAAAGTGTTAAAAGGGGATTGTTGGGGTCAACAGCATCTTAAAATGCTACAAGTCTGAATGCTATTTGAAGTGCTCAGAACGCTGCTAATTATTTTGTTTTATCTAATGACACTATCAGGTGATGATAAACAGACTTTGCCTAGCTGGACATGAAGATTGATCAAGAGCACATGATTAATTCCAGAAATGTACCCAAAGAGCAGCTTTCTGGATTAACTTTGCTCTAAATGCCAGCAGCCAAATCCACCCACTTGTTCTAATTGCACATCTCAGACTTACCTCACCTTCATCAAATCACTAATATCTTACACTGATTTTGATGAGCATCACAGGATTTCCATTCTGCATCGGACCTTAAATGACTGTTTTTTTTTCAAATATTCATGTCTGTCTGCATTTGTCTAAGTGCACTGTAACCACCAAATCACACAATCCATCATCTCTTTGTCAGTACCCTATACAAAGAAGAACCTCTGAGAATATGCTTACAACATAAAGGTCACTCTTGTAGTTGACTAAAGGCATGAATAAAATATAAAACATTTTGCTAAACCCTTTGAAGAGATGAGGTTGCCATTACCCTTTACTGCTTGAGCAAGCTCTTCAACTGCTTTTCAGCACTATCATGACACTACATGGGGAATTTAATGGCACCTATGTACATCTAGAATCAAAGCCAAAACTCAGCTTACTACCTTAACTTTCAGAAGTCAGACTAAGAATGACTATATACTTGGCAAACTGACCTATTTTCACAGGATGCTGTCTCAGGATGATATGTACAGTGGGTGTATTTTAGCCAACAAAAGCCAGCAAAGTGCCAAGAGCTGCTAAATTTCCTGTTAAGAATTAAAGCCCCTCCACACACATTTTCTGCCACAACACACGGCCCATCTTTTTGTCAGCACGAGTATTCCTTGAAAAATGAGAGTTGAAAAAATCACCTGGCATAATTTCTCACGAAAGGTAAGGAAATTAAAGGAAATGAAAAAAGCTACAAAGTAAGAAGAGATGATCTGAGGGTTCTACTGGCTAATATGCTTCTGGAATGAAGTGTAATTCCAGTTTCATATTTAGTGCTTAAGTACCATGTAAAATAGGAGCACGAAAATGTAAAGTATGCAAGACAAATGACATTTTATCTTTAGTCATAATCATCCCTCATGGGTGTATCCCTACTTACACATTTTCTGCCACAACACACGGCCCATCTTTTTGTCAGCACGAGTATTCCTTGAAAAATGAGAGTTGAAAAAATCACCTGGCATAATTTCTCACGAAAGGTAAGGAAATTAAAGGAAATGAAAAAAGCTACAAAGTAAGAAGAGATGATCTGAGGGTTCTACTGGCTAATATGCTTCTGGAATGAAGTGTAATTCCAGTTTCATATTTAGTGCTTAAGTACCATGTAAAATAGGAGCACGAAAATGTAAAGTATGCAAGACAAATGACATTTTATCTTAGTCATAATCATCCCTCATGGGTGTCATCCCTACTTTCCTATTAATCACTAGTACAAATATCCTAAGACAAGGCTAAAAATGGGGTGTAATTTTTCACTAAGTATGCTTGAAATGGACAGTACATTTCATAAAAGAAAGAAGTTTGTGATCTATTTGGTGGTTGCGTCACAAGAGCAACCTCACCGAATCTGGCTGGAAATCTCCAATCATAGCAGCCATCAGCACAGACCTCAAGGTTTAGTAACATGACTTGAAGTGAGTGCACTGACAAGACTTAGCCAGTTACCACTTTCTGGCTAAGATAACAGCAACTGAGTAAATACGATGTTCTTTCTAGTCACTGCAAACACAAGTAAAATGTATTAGCATAAACCACTTATTGAAGCATAACTTGCTAAGCCCCAGAAACCTGGCACTTGTGATTGCATGAGCATTCCCTCTCTGTTTTAGCTAGTATAGACAATGTCAGACTTGTAAACAAAGTAAAATCAATAATTCCGATCAGTCAGCAAAAGCAATGGGCAGACAATTACCATTGGAACTCAAAATCCATCTACCACATAGATGCATAGCTCCTGGTTTATGAAAGCACACATCTTCCACTACTTGAAAGTAAACTCACTGATCTTACTGTCATCTGCTTAACACATTAACTGCCCTCTCATCTCAGTGTTGCAAGTGAGGTTACCTAAGCAGCTTCTGTCCAATCATTCATTTAACTGTACTGCTTTGTTGCAGAGTAAAAGTTAAACTGTCTGGGTCTATCAAATGTTGTAATTTTTAATTTTTTTCTTTTGGTTGAATGGTCAAAAAAATCCCCCCAAGCTCGATTTTGCTTAGTTAGATATCTACAGAGAAAATTATTACATTCATATCTCATCCTTGTGATTCACTTAATGAGAAAAGAGGACATACTAACTGGACACAGGCTCTGAAAGAAAAAGGAAGTTGGAGTACAGTTGTTAGCAGAAGAAGATAAAAACTGCATCACAAAACAGAATTTTCCTTTATTCTGTGTTCACAGCTTATTTGTTTTTGTGCAAAATAATGTTAGTAGACCATTGCTTATGAGTTTTAACACCTTAGATCAAATGTAAACAGAAAAATGTCTGCAGCAGGTGGCATCCATGTAATTCTCAGATCACATATTTAAAGGAAACTGGAAATAAAAAAACCAGTATTTTCCAGCAGTAAAACCCACAAAATCTCTTTATAGCATGTGAAACAAATGCAATCAGGAATCAGCAGGAGTTACTAATAGGGTTCTAACAAAACTATACAGATATTTTTAATCCATGGTTTAACTATAAAATGGTTATATGCTGAAAATAAGAAAAAGATGTGTAAATATTAACATCTCCATGCATTTGGTATTCATCACTAAGCTTTGAAAATAATGACGTTTTAGCTGAATAATCTTCTACTATTAGAGGCCAGGAATGAGACATGAAAAGATTTCTTGGTTTTGTTTTTTTCCCTAGAGTCTGATTTTGCTTACACTGTTGACTGTAGTGGCTTCAAATATTTACTGTGGACAAAATAAAAATCAGCCCGTTAGCCAACAAGACACTGTTACATCTCAGCAAAGAACAAGAGAACAGACATAATATGGCTAGTGTCAAAACAAAGAGTAATAGCTGAGGCAAATGACGAAGTACAGGACCTTTTATGCCATTTTTGATTGCATGTGGATAGTTGCCAGAGCAGTTTAATATATCCACAGGTATAAATTTTATTTTTAAAAAATATTATAGATACATAACAACAGCCTCCCACCTCAAACTGCACTTCAGGCCTTGAAACTTTGCTGTTCTTATGAAGATGTTCAGAGCCAACCCTATGAGAAGTGCATGAGGGTCCCTAATCTATATTGCTCAACAAACAACAAAAGAAAATTGACAATAAAAAAATTACAAAACATTATCCAGAAACCTAGGTGCAGCTACACAATGGACTGTGGGGAAGGGATGGTCTAAGTACATAGACAGCTGTTCTTCTACACCATGTCTGTAGTACAGAGTACTACTGTGAGAAGGGTGTTGCAGCCTACTTAAATCTGTGAATAGATCTTGAGAACACATATTACAGCATAAATATCAGGATACTTCTGAGACACACAATTTTTGTAACCACTCTCCCATCTGTGATCCTTTTCACTCAAAACTCAGTAAATTAAGAACAGCCTACAAAAGCTATTGCTGAATCGTTTAGCTTCATACAGAAATTTACATCTCAGTTACTTAACTGGAGTCCCAAAACCTTCACTCATGAACACCCTCCTGTGGCAATTAAGTTCAGACGAGTACCATGCAAAAAAATTTGTCAGAAGTGCTTCTAAATTATTACAATATGGTTTTAAATAAAAATAACCTTCCATCTAAAGTTTTACCGTGGACTGTATGGAACACAGAAATTTTTACTGAGAAGAAATATCTTAATTCTGTGAATGATTAAAGACATTTTTCCTGAACACGTGCTTAGCATTTTACACAGAATTTTGAATTAAAATGGGGAAGTCCCAGCATGAGATTTATTTTTTTCCAGTTATATCACTGAAGAAATCACTAGTACCTGCATTTAAATTTTCAGGGTTGTAGGCTTCTGTAAACCCATCTAGATCGAAACAGGTTTGAATTCTGGACATATATTTAAAAATGTGCCAACTTGCATCCAAAAATCATTAACAAATATCTATTTAAATGTATAAAACCTTACTGCACATAAAATTAGAACTTCTAAAAGGCTTGTAATGCTTGCTCTTTTACATTGCTAATGTTACTTAATAGCTCTTAGAAATGCACAACAAATGCAGGACAATATCAAACAGGTTTTGTGCTTTCCTAAAATGTCTGCATCACCTTTACTTCTTGTCAGCAAAATTCCTTTATATAAATGTACAGACTGAATACCAAGCTACGGCACTGGTTATAAAAGAAGAGTGTAGCAAATAACACTTTGCCAAACACACTATAGGAAAAAAAGCAAAACAACACAGCTACAGTATGTAAGTGACTTACTATTTATATGTTTCTGAACGAATGTATTCAAAAACATGAGACACTCCCAGCTGGAACTGGTCAGCAATAGGGGTAACCCAAGGATTGTTCTCTGCTTTGAAGACTTGCTTTTGACCAGTCAAATCCAAATTACCTGAAAGAGATTAAACAAAAAAAACCTGAAACATTAAAAATTTGAAAGAAACACCTTGCTGTGAATATAAACCTTTTCATTCATTTCAGAGAGTACAACCAGAAGAGCAAATATTTCTGTCTTAGTAGAGAGGAATAGGAGGACACAGTAGTTCCCAACATGACGATGCAGTTTCACCCTGTTAATTTCAGTACTACTACATTTGCACAGCAGGACTGAACTCAACCCACTGGATATAATATTTATTCATCCAAGTAGTTTTAAGAAGGGCTTCACAGTGCATAGGTGTTGGGCCCTCTCCACCATGGCTTGCAGGAATAAAAGGAGAACGATGCTGTGGTAGGAGCTCGCAGAACTCAAGCTTAGCATTATAAAGAATTTCTTGATCAATGGTCCACACATAATGTCAACAATGGCTTTCTGCCTTCCCAGTGCCCAGCGTACTGTTTGTACTAAGATCCTATCACTGATCTGTGGTTATAGTACTGAGAAAAACAAACAAAAACCATCATACTTGCAACATGCCAATTTTAGCTGTTCTGTTGATAGGAAGACTTAAGAGACCTATTAGGGGCTTGCCTGGGGGTTGGTTTGTTTTGTGTTTACCACCCAAAATTAAAACAGTACATGCTATATTGAAATTCCTCATGACTATGGATACAACAGGATAACTTTCAGGATGGATAGCCATTGCTAATATTTTCTTGTGTTCTTTATATTAAGAAATATATGCTACATTTAAGATGTATTTTTGTGAATTTTGTGATGAAGAGAGGCCTCCCCTCCCCCTAGAAACCTAAAGCAACAAAGAAAAAAATAATCTTTAACTACGGGAAATAAAAAAAATTACAAGGTTTTGCAGACTGACTGAGCCAAGCTGTCTGAGAAATACAAAAACAACCTGATGTGCTAGCTTTTCAAAATTAAAGGCTTGTGTAAGCTTCAGGAGCTGCTGCAAGCCGTGTGCTTACTGCCCACTCTGGTTGCATGCTCCACCTTGCAGCTAACCCTTGACGTGTTTCTCTCCGTGAAAAGGGTTAACACAATTAAAGACAGACCATTACACCCTGTGAAAAGATGTCATGCATCTCATATCGGCCTATCAACAAGTTACCATTACCATAACAAGCTCATCTGTCAGCTGTCTGAGGCCTGTTCTTTGGAAGTAACAAGAGGCAGGGAGTCTCACCCCTCCGTCAGGCGGGCGGCGATGGCTCTCGCTGCCTTACGCTTCAGCACATCTCATTAGGAGCCTCACACCCACCTCCTTTATTAAGAGGCTCAGCAGCCCTGTTCTAACAAGGATCAGGAAGCAGGATTAAGTACTGTGACAAAGAGGACCTAATAAGCTAGAAAGTGGTGTTTCTAAATCTGCGCTGGCGCAAGGCTCAGGCTCAGGCTGCTGGCTGCTCATTCTCTAGCTGCAGGCCACAGGGGAAGCCAGCCAGCACTGTGATGAGCCACAAGCCGCTGAACGGTGCTGCTATGAAAATCTTTCTTTGCTTTATAAATCGCAAATTGGATTTTCCATTTTATTGCCTGCAAAAAAGCCCACACATGGCTCTCCAAAACAACCAAAGCTGTAAGCACTCACTTGTAATTACATCTCTGCAAGTACTGCATCGAACTAAAATGATCAATCTGTGTGCAACTAATACAATAGGTACATTTATGGAGGCAAGCTTAACCTCAACACCGGTCAATTTCAGTGTTGTTTACAGGAATAAGTCAGGCATTCCCAAAATCTCAACAGCCAGCTGACACAGCTAGCCTGGCAGCCTGTCCCGCCAGCCACCTACAGCTGGAGCAAGAGGTCAGCTGCCCACTCACAGCCCAGGGTTTTAACTGCAGAATTTAATAATAAAAGGGCATACCTAATACTGCTCCAGCTGCAGGATGTCCAGGTGGTCCCAAGCATGAGACCAGTGTCCCAGTATAATCTCAGGAACAGTACATGCTGGGGTAACCAAACACACCAGAGCCCTGCATGAGCACTTCTGCCCCGGTGCAACAAGATGAACCCAGCAGTGTGGAAGAGATTATCAGATCTGCCTGAAGCAATGGCTCTGATACCAGGCTCACCACAGGAGTGCTATGCAACTGGACACCTTAATGATGTGGCCCTGTCCCCACCCAGTCTCAGCAGTCTCCTTGCCAAGACTTTTCTTTAATTGAAGTGCTGTGCTAAGAAATGTTTTTATTCCATCCCTGCAGCACTAGAGCCATGCATGGGCCAGGAAAAGAAAGAGCCATGGCAGATGAACCTTGCATACTGTCTGACAGAAGCATCAGCAGAACACTATCCCCAGGCCATATAAAATTTCTTGGATACTTTAAGTAAGCAAAACACAAAATTGCTTCTAGTAAAAACCCAGTACAGAAGATTCTGATCCAAAAGAATTTTTGGATCAGAGATTACATTGATGATTGCTGGTCTACTCTTTCTATGTATGTCAGCCTATTAAAAATGTTTATAATCTCTAAAATTTGGCATAACAAGTAGACTAAAATTATATTTCTTCATAACTGACTTAAGGTTCTTGCTATACAGCCATAATGAAAGAGGTCAACTGCACTGAAATACATCAGAGTCACATACCTCTGGTGAGAGAGGAGGAGAAGGCTATCTTTTAAGACTAGTCAGCACACGCCCTTTCCTAGATCACAGAAACGTCGTTCAAATTATTTTTGAGTGCTTCTAAAATTACTTGTATAAATAAATAACCAAAACTATATACCACAGAGCCCAGGTCTAACATGCTTAAAGAACCTTCTGATCTCTAAGCCTGAAGGATACTTTTTTTAAGCTTTCTATCTCGAACAGACCTATACCGCCCAGTAGGAAGAATGTGAAGGGGACATATTGCTGCTACCAGTGAGCAGACACCAAAGACAACAGAAACTGGACAAGAGCAGGGATAAAGGTCTAACAGCTGACTGCTGTGGAGGACATGCACAGGATGACCTAAAGACTTCTAAAAGGAGCCAGCTGTGTGGTCTTAGAAATACCTGATCTCAGCTTTTTTTTTTTTTTTTTTTTTTTTTTTTTTTTTCTGTTTCAGCACTCATTGTATCTAAAAATTATCCTGAACTATTATGTTCAGTGTGACTGTATTTAACCCACCTTAAAACCAAATTGTTCCTATGCCCAACTAATATTCTGTGAAGACTTTAAAAATGTCTGCTGTCCAAATTTCTTTCTAGATGCCAGCTGGAAGCTACACTAAGCAGATCTAGACAAAAAAAAACACCTTGAAATTCAAGGACAAAAATCAAAGTATGCATAATTTTTACATCTTCCAACTTATGCTATCCATTGACTAAAATAACATTTATCACTGCTGAAATTCTGAGCTCCCATAGTCATGGGCAGAGAAAAGGGACGTCATATGACAGAGGGCACGAGTGATGCTAAAAGGAAAAAGGCAGCTACAGTTTCCCTGCAATTCCTTCAATAAATTTATCCTGCATTTGATCTAAAACAGGATAGTTACTGTTTCTTGTTATTTTCCTTCAGTGCTGTTGAAATAAGAAATCGTTTGTGCGAACATTCATATTTTGCTCAACTGCCTGAAAAGGTCAGAAAAGAGCTCATAAAAGTAAAAAAAAATGTTGCCTCCTGCAGTAGTTCTTCCAGAAACTAAGTGTCAGAGCCAGCGATAATGCCAACTATTATTTTGATCAAGGGTGTCTCCAGAGTTTCCAGGTTCCTCATGTTTATTAGATCTAGTCCGCAAGCACCTCCTATATACAACCACAAGACCCTCAACCTCTTGTGACGTATGATATACAGTGTATAATATTTACCCAAAGTGCATACTTAAGGTATAGTAAGGTATGGCTAGCGTATGTAGACATCACTTCAATACAAACACTAGAAAACAGAATGAACACAAACCTGACTTGCCCTTTCCACTCAAATGCCCCTTGGCAACACTTTAAATACTTTCAAAAATTAAAAGGTGAAATAAAGTAATTAAACAACTCTGACATTTGAGAAGCGAATGTTGGCATTCAGCATAAGAAACATGATCCTAGCTGTAAAATGCCAGATCAACACTTCTTTGTAATAGCTTAAATTCATCTCCAGTTGAACCTCATTAAAATCAACAGAAACTACTTTTAGCCTCTATACTGCTGCATTTCACATCTGTCCCATTGATATTCTGACTCAGGTGGCATCCTATACTCTACTGCACTGACCTCAAGGAGAGCCCTCTGTAACACACCCCTTTTAGGGATTCCTCTTAAGGCAGTTTACATGTTCTTTCCCTTTACAACACAAAAGATCTTACTCTCCCACAGTCATACATGAGGACAGGAAGAATAAAATTAGTTTTATTTCTTTATTTAGATATAAATACTCTTGAATCCTATTTTATTAAATGCTAAGTAAGGGATCAATCCACTACACTAAATTTAAACTTAGGTTATATGTAAAAATATGTCTGTCCAGGCTTGTTTCAGATTTGCTTCACACTATAGGGCTTAGAATTTTTATTACTTTTGTGACATGTGCTTTGTCTCCACAGACAGACAGATTGGTTTAAGCCTGAGGGTTGAAGAAATATCATGACTATTATATCATGAAAGTGATACCAAATCAATTGTGAATGATGTCTTAAAATCTATGTAAAAAAATTTAAAAAGATATACTGAGTTCTATGCCACAGTGATATGAAAAGCAAATAAATTTTATACCAGTCTTAAGCACATGTAAGCTGTGTATCGATAACTCATATAATTCCTATCAACAAGTAATATCACCTGTTTGAAGACCTCTATCACTTTTGAAGGTTTAGCAACAGAAGACAGTAGATTAAACAGCAGTTAGAAAGGAACAGTAAGACAACAGAAAGCAAAGACTTCCTGTACATAAAGTGATGCGTGACTCAAGTCTTTTTGGAACTTGCAAAAATATTCACAGAAATGTTCAGTATGATAAATGAATCTACAGCTCCATAGCATATGTCAAAAATATACATTTGCTTATTGATGAG